GGCTGTGTTGTGAACCTTGGACACAAAACAAACTATGGAGGCATCTTTAAATTAACAAAATTGTGCAATTAAATATCTCAATAGTTCCAGCAAACCATATGAAAAAATGAACTTTGGTAAACAATTCTAGCTATACTTTATCTGAATTCTTTTTTTATTAAACATTGTGGTTTTCATGTATATTTTATTTCTTAGAATACATATAATTGATTTAAATATTTAACTGGAGTTTTTTCATAAATACCATAATTTCATGAAAGTAACTTGCTAGTTATCTGTGAAGCAGGTGTGGATTATGCAATGATGCAAGTAATTTTCTGATTTCAACTTACATTTATGAGCTCATCCAACTGTTTTTCTTTAGTTTAAATTTATCAATAGCATCTTCATAAAATGTGTAAAATCCATTGTGTGCTACAGACATATTCATCTACCATTGCAATTTTTCTTGAAGCTACCAAAGGCATGTATGATTATACGTCCACTTTACATTTAGTTCTATCCCATTCATTTTCCATCTAAGAAAGCATAAACCGATTCATGTATTAATTAAAGTTAATTAAAGCATGTATTAGTCCTTGCTCTGCTTGGTTTTTTATTTTTAAAGTTGATAAGTTTCTAGTAATTCTCCTCTTTATAATAACTTTAAGAAAATAATTTATAAATTGATTGTTGATATCTCTAACATACAATAAAATAGAATAGCAAGAGCAAGTGTTAAGCACGCTTAACATTAAAATTTTATTATTTTCAAGATTAGTTAGCATTATGTATTATTATGAAGTTTAAATTTTGCATAAAATTTTTTTCAGTTCACAAGATTATCACAAGATAGAGCTTATTGTATTTTTCAATACTTTTGTGTACTTGATGATGATAGGCAATTTGAGTATATACAATTTAAATCTGCAATTCATTGAGCAAACTACTATTATTATTTATTTTAATATTATTATTTAATAAATAAAATTAGAATTGAAGTAAAAACAATAAAAATTAACTGGCTCAGAAGCCACTTTTATTCTTGACATTTATTCAATTTAAGTGATTCTGTTTCAAATATTCTATTTTTTCCCTCTGTCCATTTTGTTTTCTGTTTCACTTGTAATTAAAAATATCTGTAATGAACTAATAATAGAAATAGAAGTGTAAAACAATATTTGAGATGAGATGATACTGTCTAAACTGCATACTAATAAGTGTCATGTTTTAAAGTGCCATTTTGGAGTGTAATTATATTGTTTTTATTTCTATTCTAACAATTTTTTTGAATTATGTGCCATGGAGTACAGTACTAAAACTGAAGGGCTTTTCAGCTCATCTTTAGAGAGATATATATTTTTAGAACCAAGCATTCAAAAATTTAAACATTGTAAATATCAAAATCAAATATCTGTTTGACCTAAACCAGAAAATTTTTTGTTTGTTTTTTGTGCTCCTCTACTCTTTTACAGTACAGTTAAGAACACATCATACTTGATTAAAGTTTAAAGGAAGTAACTTTTAAAAAAAACTCTTGAAGAAAAATAAAGAACATGTGCTGATCAATGCAACAATGCAATGGCTAATCTAGTTACAATTTAGAAAATTTGCTTTAATAAGCAGAATATTGAAAATATGTTTTTACATTTGAAATATGCATTTATAAGGAAGTCCTACAAGGCTTCCAGATTTCCATTTTTCTACTTATTTTAAAGAATAGCATCAAAAATGCAAATATGTATTCACATAAAAATTTGAGCCTTGGTCATTGGTTAACTAAATAAATTTTATTTAACAATAAAAATTCAGGTAACAAATTTTAAAATATTTTCTTTCATAAATATCAGTACTGTTTAAAACACATTTAGAATGAATTTATGATATAAAAATAAAAAACAGTTTAAGATTATGGTAATTAATATGAAAATAATAATTTTTTAGAACTTGGAAAATGCTTTGCTACTTATTAAATTTGCTATTTATATATTACTGTAATTTCCTGTTTGTTATCTGCAGCAGTGTACAGCCCAGAGCATCATATAGTGTGTAAAATTCTAAAACAAAAATGAAAAATATTGCATAACCCACACTGTTGCATATGCCACACCTCCAAAGTTGTTGAATCCTTATGCAGTTTATAAGATAATCTCTCAAACATTCTGTTTTTTTTTTATACTTCTTTTGTTTTATTTCCATTGGAATTTATTATAGATGTAATTATAAAATAAGTGAAATGGAAAAAAAATGGAAAATTTGAGAATCAAATTTGCTAAACTGCATCAAGAATCAAAAATATTAATAATAATTAAAGCTGTTCCCCAAAGATGAGCATCCGTATATGATAAAGGCTGATATATTGAAATTGCCAGATTATTCAATATAATGAAAAAAAGTTATGAAATAAGAAGTGAAATGAAAAGTAGGAAAAAAAGTAAATGAAAATGAAATGAAAAAAGTTAAAATGATTACTGTCATGTAGTAAAATAACTTTCCATATAATTAAAAGAACTGGATTTAATCTAGTTCTTCTAATTAGTCCATTCCATAATTGCAGGATTTGAATTAATCCAGTTTCAGATCCTAAACAATATTCATTTTGATAACATTAAAACAGTAAATACACATTAAACATTTAAAGTAAAAATAACACAGTTAAATATCCTGAATAATAAATTAAAACACAAAAAACAGTAAACCAAAATATGTAAATATTGAATGAAATGATGTATAATGAAATGATAATTGCATTTATTATTCACACACTGAAGACTTCAGAAACATGGTCACCAGATCTGCCATTACATATACCACTTTCATACTTCACAATAGATAAGTTCCTTTTCATCTCAGTTATCAATAATGCAACCTTCTGTTAGCCTTTGTTGCTTCTACACACTTCTTGGATGCTGCAGTTTATAAGTAAAGTTTATATTAGTTTGAACAGATAGTTTTATTTGTATTTTAAACAGTTGTGGTTACTTAACCTAGATGTGTGATTTAATTATAACAGTTGTGAAATTTAATAGTTGTTAATGTGAGATTGTGTTCTTTGTTTAGAAGCTTATTTTAAACACTTTACTTCATATTGTTTGAATAAAATAAAATTAAAATGTCTTCAGATAAAAAGTATATCTGGTATATTTTGCTCCAGAAAAGATATTGAAACACTTTCTTGTTATTGTTGGACAGACTATAAAACATATAATTATAATAATAATAACAACAACGTACATATGGCACTACAGAAAGCTGCAATATTGAACACATGTCACATTGTGAGGAAGTTTCTAGATGCTGTCACATATGCCAATAACACAGCTTAATGTTACAGTTGTTTGGGTCGCTATGCCTTGACTTTACTCTGGCATAGCACTTAGCATCAGTATCAGCTTAGCATGACATTCGCAACATAATAATAATCATTAATTTTTTCAACTTTATTTTAACATAATTAGAAAAAGCTCTGTGTTGAAACTGTGCCCTTCTTTAAATTATATTTTGAGACACCACAAAGTGTTGATACTAGATACTGGACTTTTTCACATCCACTTTATTTTCTGATGTACTTTATAGTGTATAAACCAATTGTTCCAAATGCCAATACACATTTCAGGCTAGCGTCCCTCATCTGTTGGCTGATATAAGTTTTCTACAAAGGTTGTTAATATATTGCTGACGTACATAAAACCAAACACCAACATGTATTGTAAACCAGTTAAAAATTTCTAAAACTTGAATAAAAAAGTACAAAAAGAACCTGGATGCAATTTACATTCTAAAAAATTTCCTGCATGTTTCCATTTTTACTTTGGTACATTCGGTATGGATAACATTGCAAATAACATCTGACAGCAGCCATATACTGTCTAATACGAGTCTTTGCAGAGTCAGTATTTGGAACAATTGATTTATACACTGTAAAGTATGTCAGAAAATAAAGTGGATGTGAAAAAGTCCAGTATCTAGTATTAACTCTTTGTGGTGTCTCAAAGTATAATTAGAAAAAGATTTTAATGCAGATAATTTCTGTAGTATATTTAATGTTTGAAGAGCTATCTGGGGTTAAGATGAGTTTGGTGACAATTTGACTTGTGACTCTTGGTAAAAATGCTTGCCATATCCATGCAGAGTAAATAAGAGGTAAAATAAAATAATTGAGAGTTCTATGAAAAAAAGATACCTAAGTTAAATTTTAAATTTTCAAGAATTTTCAAAAAACTGTTCTTTTGCATGAAGTTTTGTTATGGAGTGAGTAAAGTGTAAATGTTAAATATGCTTGAGTAAAAGTGCTGATTATAGCAATGGAAATATCTATAGCCATAAAACGTTATTTGATATGCATAATAAAACACTTAACTAAAAAAGTATGTAAATGCACTTAGCTACCTTATTCTATAGAACTGCTCAATTGCCATCATTGTTGATTTTAGTAAGAATGTTTTATATGGACTTGACATCTATCAATATAGACTTGAGAATTGATTTCTTATCTCTTATTCACTGTAGAAAACTAACATATTATGCTAAAATTGACAGTCAACTATATAATGACTCTTGAGAATTGCAGGGTGCTTCAATTAGGACTGATCAATACCTCACGATTGTCTAGTCACATTTATATAACATGTACAGTATAATGGAACAACACTTCATGATAAAACAGTCAAGTAGAGTATGTAAAACATGCTTNAATGTTATAAATTCCTATTGTTTTTATTAATAAAATAAACTATTAAAATAGTTTTTAATTTTTAAAATGTTTTTTCTACTTGTTTTGATATTTTATCCATTGAAAGTTTGATTTTTATCTTTATATAAGTAAACAAATTCAATTTAGTATCTTCAAAACTTCTATATATTTAAAAGTAATGTTATAATATGAAATTTAATGTAATCAAAGTAGTCAAAAATGATTTAGTGCATTTTTATTGTGTGTGTGAAATTTGTCTTAATTACATTATTCTGCAAGCATTGCTGGTTAGAATTAATTAGTAATCAATGTCATTTTGTGTAATTAGTTTCCGTAGAAGAAAAATCCCAAAAAACATCAAAAAGTCGTGGCCCAGTTGAATTAGCTAAATGTGAATTTTGTGGTAAGCTTGGTGCTAAATCAAAATTCAAGAGATCTAAAAGATTTTGTTCAACTTCATGTGCAAAACGTTATAATGTTGGTTGTTCCAAACGATTGGGAATATTTCCACCAGCCAGTCAACAGACAAGCACTACAAGCCTAAAATATGAAGGTATGGATGATATATGTATCTTTTTCTTTAAATACTAATAAATAACTGTCACAAAAAAATGCAGTAATAAAAGAAGAAAAATAGGCATTGTATTAAAATGGAATATATTACAAATTGTTTATTCATAAAACTTCAAATGATAAAAGAAATATCAAATTAAATACTCTTAATTAGACTTCAAGGAATAAGCTGTTAGTCTAGATGCAGAATGATAAACTGCTCTTATAAAAAAACAATAATTAATATAACAGAATATAAATTATAATGAAGAAAAAACTTCTAAAGCAAATAAAAAAGAAATTAATAGGGGGAAAAATGCTTAATCTAGAAATACATCGTAAATTTATGACATATTTCTAGATTAATCAATGTTATAACTCGATCCATAATAATGAGGGAAAAATGCTTTTGGCCCTAAAATTCATCAAATTCAAATATATTAATTGTCTTACTTCAGTTATATTTATTTTATATCAAATTATTTAATTTTGTCTGAGAATGTGTAGAATTATTATATTGTATTAAATATATTTAGCATGACTTTTAACTTAATTTATTAATGAATGCACAAATTCATTGTGTATTTATTATCAAATTATTTTTATAGGTGATTCATTAAAATAATAACTGAATGATAAATTATTATGTATTAAAATATGTTAAAAAGTTGTTTTAGTGCATTAAATATATTTTTGAAATAACAGATTTAGATTATTTTAGAGCCAAAAACATTTTTTTTTATAAATGTTTGTCCTACTTTCATTTGAACATGTACAGTATAATGGAACAACACTTCATGATAAAACAGTCAAGTAGAGTATGTAAAACATGCTTTGATTGACTGCTTTGTCATGAAATAAAGTGTTGTTCCATTCATGTTCCATGCTCATATTTTCATTTTATACAGAGATATTCCACATACTAAGTGTTCAGTCCCAAGTGAATCACTATATAGAAAGGAGGGAATTACAGAAAGTCATCAGCTTTTAAAACACAAATAAGTAGGTAGTGTCTAATGATATTGATTAAAATGTGGACTGACATACAGAAAATAGAAGACAACCAAAGCTTAGTCATACTTAAGCTTTACATGTATATATAAGTATGCTTATATATACATGTTTTTGACTGTTTCCAGAAAATCACAATGAAAGTTAAAGTTAATGTGTGGGGGACACAAAATATTTTATGATTTTTGACGATGGTTTTAGTAAGTTTAGACAAAAAAAAAGACCGTTGGATGAAGTCATAATTACAATTTAAAATTGATTGATAATATGCACCAGCACATAATCCACATCCAAATTTACTTTAAAATACAAAGAACCCACAAGTTATTTGCAGGAAATCATGGTAATTGTTTTGAAACTGTTTAAATTAGTGATTATATAGCTTTTTAATTCTNTCTGAGATTTAAAAAAATATTTAATGACTTTATCTAATTAATTATCAAATAAAAACTAATTCCTAATTTTAAAAAATCAAGTATTTTAAAATGATTTTTAAAATAATTTATATTAAAAAATAAAGTTGCAATTATTTTCATGAAGAGTTCTTCCATACATAATAGCAGCAAGGAAAACATTTTATAAAAGATTACAAAAAGATTGTTATGTTTCATTTTATTTAGAATATCTTTCTTAATTGGTATATAATATAACTATTCAATTTTAAAACTCATAAGAAATAAATATATTAATTTAATAACTTTATAATAAAGTTATACACATCTTCATATAAATGAGACTTTTTTAAAATTGAAAATGTAGAACAAATTTTATTATTTGAAATACATAGATTTTAAAAGTAGCAATATTTGAAAATATTTAATCACATTATAATAGCCATATTAGATACAATTAATAAGTATATAAATATATTATAAATACTAAATATATAAACTAATTGATTAGCAAATCATAAAACATTTCTTTGATGATATTTTAAATTAGCTATAATTTTATCAAGGTTAAGTTCAGTATTCTTGAACCTAGATCTAGAAGATTCATTATTTTTTTATCAATATTATTGAAATCATGTAATTGTAAAAACAACTTACATCAAGACATTTAACAAACAAAAAATAGTGATCAAATGAAAAAGAGGACTTTCAAATAGTAATGTGTTGAGTTTGGCAATGCTGAGATTTGGTGATACCATGAGCCAGCTGTGCTTATTTTTGCCTTGCTATGCATCATGAGAAACAATTAAATTTTGAACATTTATTTATTATGAACTTGAGAGGTAACATTTGAAAAAAAGCTATTTATTCAGATAGCTATCTGAATAAATAGTTTGGGTATTTTTAGTTTTGTCACACCAGTACATTGTTCTTTAAAAAGTTTGAAAATAAATCTCTCTGGGCACAATGATTCAGGATATTTTTACATAAATTGTTATATTAATTTTCTGTAATTTTTTCATTATGTAACTTTCCACTATGATAATTCTTTGTTTTGTAGTTTGATATTTTCAGTTATCTTAGCACTTAATTTAAATACCCAATAACAAGCTAATACCATAATTGGAAGTGATATTATGTGATAAGTCTGATAAATCAGTCAAGCAGTACAAACTTGTGTCACTTGCAGACTTGAGTTAATTGGTATATAATATAACTATTTAATTTTAAAACTCATAAGAATCACTTGTGACACAAGCAATACAAACTTGTGTCACTAACAAATTCTTTTGTCTGATCATCCAGTATAGTAAATATTATAGGGACTGTATATTGTGTTGTTATATTTATTAAATTCACTTTAAACAGATGATGGTTTATTCAAACAAGGCATCAATATGTAAATGCCATATCAGTTAATATTTTCTAAAAAATAATATTGCATGTTGTAAAATAGCAGAGAAATTAAAATATAATCATATGAAAATACTATTTCATAAACAAAATTTACAATAAAAATTATATAAAGAAGATAAACAAACAAATAAATAAATAAATAAATAATGTATTCATTTATTTAGTACAAGTTACTTTTATACTCTTTATATGGGGAAGAAAGTAAAAAATAAAATAAAATGCCGAACATACATAATGTCCAATAACAAGCATAAATACAGTAAATATAATAATCTCTGTATGAAGTCCAAATTCATAGATACAAAAACTAATATATAATAATCATTATCTATATGCAACATCCAGTGCATTAGTACAATTTCAATACATAAATAAAATATCAAATACAAAAATATAATTACAAAAACATTAACACAAAATCCCATACATTGTAATTAGTATATAATATCCCAAACACAAAATTTAGTAGTAAACAAGCTGTGATAAACTGTGATGACCTGATGCCATAACAATAGAAATGAAGAGATTATTAAGATAATTTAATAAAAGTAATAAATCAAAAACAAAAAAAATAATAATAATAAATTAACCTATCTGGAAAAATACAAAAATAAGAAATATGCAAAACAGGTTAGCAAGAGGTTGTCAAAGCCATCAACACCAAATTAACCCCCCAAGATGAATATAATAAAATTGTTTTGTATAAGTTTTAAAAATACCAAAATAATATATGGTAACTTTACTAAAATTTTTTCAAAACTCATATTTTAAAAATAATGTTTAATTTTAGGATAAAAATGAAAAAATCCTTGAATCCATTCATAGACTTTTATAAAAATCTTATTTTGATAAATCATATAATGAAGGTGTGGGATTCTAAGCTGTTATATCACATGTCATCAATGCAGAAGATTAATAATATGTAATGTAATAAATAAAGATTAATTATTAATGATGATATCTCTCAATCAAACAACCTTCACATTGATAAGTCATGTTGATTTATAAGGTTGTTAGTCAGCTGTTTAGCATCACATTCTATTCCTCAACAAATGGAGAATTTTGTCAGTTCTCCATTTGTTGAGGAATAGAATGTGATGCTAAGCAGTTTCATCCAAATTCTCCTTGAACTATCTTCAATGCACTTCAATAGTGCATTCAACATGCTCTATCTGATTTGTAGTACCTAAAAATTTGTCATATCAAATTATCCTTTGATATTCTCATTCTTAACAAAAATCATTATTAAACCGAGTTCTATAAGGATAATGTTGTTATTCATGAAATATAATTTGGGATTTAATGCATCTTGGAAAAGTTTTATAAAGGATACTTTTACTCTTTTGTCCTTGATTTTGTCCTTAGGGTAGTCAGAATATTCCTGAAAAATGGAATGGTATACTCCTTTTAAGACAGTAATAAACACAACACCTTCCTTTTTTTCCTTTTAATGTAATATTTGAAAGATATCTTTTTCCCTTGATACCTAGAATGTTAATTATACTTTCCTTGTTGTCTTCAGAAGAAAATATTCCAAGAATTAAATTGTAAATTTCATGTAAATTGAATCACAATTCTATCTGTAAAAAAAGAATCCATTGATCTGAGCTTCAGGGATATTGGTAGCTCTTTCATTTCAATCAAGTTCTCTTCAGAATGGGTGTCGTAATCAGTTTTTTTTTATGAAGGCAATTTTTTATTAAGCCTTTGAAAATTATAAACAATTATCAATAACTAAACAGCTCTATTGAAAGTTGTATAGTGTAAATTGGTTATGGCATCTAATATGAAGATAAGAACATTCATCATAAGTTATAGTTATCCTTGGACACTTATTCGAAGGCATTCTTGAACCATTCATTGATGCAAAATTAGTAGTGATGTAACGAATATTCGGTTACTATTCGGTATTCAGCCGAATACCTGAAAACAGAAGTAAGAAATAACAAAAACTCAGTAAATTAATCATTTTGGTATTTAGATTTAATGTTATTGGGTTAGTGTTGTTTGTTTATATTTATTTATAACTTACAACATGCACAAAATAAAAAAGAAAATAATATTAGTCATACGTATTCACAATTTATAATTACAAAGATCAGCACACACACACACACCTATTTGTTCAAGAATCGTCGCACACATCTGAGGGTCTGATCCTGCCTATCCTTTTTTTTAAGCG